GTTCGTTCTGATGATATACGACGAGAAACAAGGAAAAAAACTGTGTGATGAAGAATGTGTGTGCGTTCACACGCATACAAAGAAAAAAAAAAGGAAGGATATACACCCGAATCGAGAATGGCAGCACTAGTATGGGATTAAAACGCAAGCAGAGAGAGAGAGAGAGGAAGAGATCGAATGAGCAAGTAGCAGATAGTCGAGTGTTCATATATATATATATCACAATGAATACCTTTATTCTCGTTCCCGTTCGTAAGCATTCGATTGATAGCGATAACAAAATAAATCAATGAAAAGAAGAAGAAGAGTAACAACAACCTTCGATTTTGACTTAATGTCAAATATAAAGATATCCCTCTTCTTCTTCTTCTTCTTCTCCGATCGAGTAGCAATGGCGCTTGCACACGAGCATTTACCTATGTATGTTACGAAACGAATGTAAACATAAAATGTAACGAAGAGGATACACCACCTTCTGATGGAGCGTGCGAAATTCGATCTGCCAAATGATAACGGGCCGACGAGTAATTTCTTCTGTGTTCTCTCATCTCTTTCTTCTTTTGCTATAGAAAAAAAATAAAAATAGAAAAGATCTCTAGTTGCTGATAATGATGGACGCTACTCTGTTTCTTTCTCTCCCCCTCTCTCTCTCTCTCTCGTTTTTTACGATGATTATAGGTCAACTGCATGTCAACATCAAATTGCTGCTGCCTGTCTGCTTTTTTTTTGTCAAATAGATCATTTTCTCTCTCCTTCTCTGTTTCTCGTTTTTTTTCTTCCTTACATTGAGATATACGGCATTGTTATGGGCGCAAATATCGAGCGACAATGTTCATTAGCTTAGTGCCAGAGAAAAGAAAGAAAGACAGACAAATATATATATATATATATTTTATATATATAAAAATATATATATATATGAGCGTTCTTCTCTCTACCTATGTCCATATTTGTTACTGATCGCGAGACTCACCTTCGTTCTCGTGCTCTAATTAATTGTATGTGTGCACAGTACCTCTTCCGATAGCAGTGGTACACTTGCTGTTTGTATATGCGTCGCACATGTTGGCTTGTAAAAAAAGTATCGAAAGTGTAATAGTCAAACGAAACTCTCTTTCCTCCTTCTGTCTGCATCTGCAGTCAGTCGCTATAGCAAACAATTGAAACTCTGTTACTCTCTATTCTGCAGCTGCCAATACTATCAACAAGAAAACGACGCAAGAGCAATAAGAATATGGATATTGAGAGATTTTTTTGTTCGTTTTTCTCTCTCTATCGACACTTTTTCATCACTTTCATCCGACCAGCAAGGAGCAGCAGCACTCTCGGCTTTTTTTACATTACATACAATTCAGCTACAAACATCAGTTTAAACAAAAGAAGAAGTGCAGTGCATGTAAAGAAAGAATTTCTCTCTTTATGTTGTCAATCGCCTATAGCACACACACAGTCGATATTCCGGGATTTGCCTTCTAGGCAATGTTGTTTCTGGAAAAACGTATCAGCAATTAAGTGAGCAAGCAAGCGAACACAAAAAGAGAGAAAGAAGAAGAAGAGAGAAAGACAAAAAGACTAGTATTTTTTTATGCAGGTGTGAGCAGATGGTGGTGATCATGAAAAATGAATGAACGTAGATATATACACGTTCGAGCCGATATATAATCCTACGAACAGACGGTAGGTATGTTCAATAAAAAGAAAAGAAAGATGCCCTAAAGGCATACATCTCGTCGGAGAAAAAGACGTAAAGGATGATAATACGAACAAAGCATAAAACGGTGCTTTCTCTTTCTCTCTCTCTCTCTGTCTCTCTGTCGGCTAATATTTGACTCGCCTTTCGCTCATTTTTTTTTTATTACAACACCATCACCTCCAATACACAGCATATGGGAAAACGAGAGAAAGATCACTTAATTATGGACGATGTTTACAATGGTATGCAATGTTTGAGGAAAAAAGAATCTGACAAGAAAATTAAGACAACATCAGAAAAGTTAGAATAAGCAATGTCTATAGAAATCTTTGTTAACTTAAAATCACAAGCAACGCTTTTTTTTCTTATTGATATTAAAAAAAAATGCGAAAAATGATTCATAAGAATATATACAATTATTATTGTCTTTTGAAAATTCTAAAGTGACGTAAATCAGAAAGAAAATGCAAGGAGAAAAAGAAAAGAAGAAAAATAAAACCCATAATTCTCTATTGATACCTTGAGAAGTATATAAAAAAAGAAAAACGTGTGAAATTTCAATGATTTTTTTTCTTTTTTTATAATACACTTCATAATTCAATCACAATGCAAATCGCAATACATACTGTAGTATATTTCAAAAGAAATATATATAATATTGAAGTTGCTTTCTCATTTTTAAACTTACAACATAAACTAATATCGATATGATTCTATTGAAGAATACAATCACAATGTTTTACACCTTTTAATTTATGATTGTTCAATGAAAACTGACAAATTACATTGATTTTTTTTAAATATTGTATGATTGATAGATGATGATTATATGTAATACTATCAAGCGTCATTTAATCATTTCTCATGACGATTGAAAATAACTAATATCGAGATCGTACTATATAAGCCAATGAATAGAAATACTTTACTATTATTATATGTAGATATACTTGATTGATATTATTGAATATTTTGTAATCAATCTCATAGCAAAAAGAAAAGTATTGAATTAAATCTAGTAGACATATAGATTTCAAGTAATAATATAACCATGACAAAATGATGGTACTTGAGTATGGATCATTGATAAGAATATTAATTCCGTAAATACTATTTGACATGAATAGAGATTGAACAAAAAAATGACTTGATATGATGTTAATGAATAGATATTTTGAGATTTCTTTTTTTTCTTAAATGTATGAATTATTGAAGATCGATAAAAGAATTTAAATTTTGAATTTTATTATTTTAGGTGTTGGTTCTATTGGTACATTTCTTGAAGGACCAGTTATTGCTTGGATTGTTGCTCAATATGGTTGGTCAGCTATGTTTACTTGTATGATTTTCTTAAGTATTTTTGGTGCATTAACATCATTTCGAGCTGCTCGTTATCAACGTATGATCAAACTTTCAACATCATCAGTATCATCACTTGAACAAATTATTTCATAATTTTATTTATCATTTTCTTTTCTTTGTCTCGTGCTTTTCTCTTTTGCTAATCATTTTATTTATCAGTTTTGAATTATAATAAACTTAATAAAGACAATTTTCAAAATACATTACGCACAAAGAAAATTTGTGAATTATAGATAGAAAACTTATTATGGGTTATATACAAAAATTAATGTTACCACCTACACCAAGTGCAGCGGATTTACTTCGTACATATAAATTACCAGCTTTACGTCGATTTGCACAAAATTTTTTGTTAGATCCTCGTGGAACAAGTAAATTTGTCGCATGTGCAGGCAATATTGAAAATAGTATGTACATGGAGAGGTAATATATATTTTTAGAAAAAAAAAGATTGTTCTTTCTTGTTATATGAATATTGATTTCAAATCTTTCGTTATTTAGAATTTGTAATTGAAGTTGGACCTGGACCAGGAGGTATAACAAGACAATTATTTGAACATGGAGCAGCACAAGTAGCAGCTATTGAAAAAGATATTCGATTATTTCCTGCATTACAAGTAATTACTTAGCAGACATAGTAAAAATAGTAACGCTAGTTCTATAATACTTTATAGAACTGACGCGACTACTTTTAGTATGTCTGCTAAGTAATTACTTGTAATGCAGGAAATAATCGAATATC